AAAAGGATTTGGGACCAGGACTGGTCTGACAGCTGACTGGGGTTGGGGTGTGTGTGTGTGTGTGTGTGTGTGTGTGTGTGTGAGAGAGAGAGAGAGACAGTGACAGAAATAAAGAAAGACAGAGAGACAGAGAGAGAGCTGGAAATGGAGTCATCATAAAGCAAAATTATATAGTAGGTCCTGTGGGTTTGGGCATCACTGTCCCCACTCCTCTGTAATTCTTCTTCTGTCCTGCCTGTTCTTTGTACTCACCCTATAGACATTCTGAGTAATGTCCCCTTATTGATGTTATTTGATGTCTTTTCCATCAGTAAGCACTTACCTATGTTTCACCCTATTATGTTGTAGTTATTAAGTGGCGTGAGCACAGGATTGGAATCAGAATGGTAGGATCCAAATCTTAAAACTGACTTTGCCCATGAATGTGACTTTGGGACAGTGTCTTAATTTCTCTGCATCATTTTTCCTGCTTGTGAAGGGAAAATCTTGACTCTGACTTTCCAGAGTGGCCTTGGACATTAAGTGACATAAGCTTTCAGACAGCCCCTGTCCTCAGCCTGGGAACTGCTTTGAAATCAAAGAGGCTGAGGAGTAAAGGGGAACTGAGGATCAGGGGGTCATCTGATGGCTGGGGACTCTCCTCCGATGACAATCTGCAGATGGCGTATTGTTGTGGACTCAGGTGAGGGTACCCTTTTGTTTTATGGTGTGCTCATGAGAATGTGAGATTTTCTGACTTTTTTTGTGGGTATGAGGTCATCCCTACCCATTCCTCTACCTCCTGAGGCTCCTCAGCTCCGAGAGCAATCTCTCCTTAGGTCAAATTCAGGGATTCGTCAACTTTCTTTGCGCCTTTGCTTCCAAATGTTATACTTTTTTCTACCAGTCAGCTTCCTAAATAAGCATCTGAGATCATCAGAGTTACGTCTTGCTAGCAGCTGCCCTGATACAATTTTTGTCCGAGGCCTCTCCTCTGCAGAATCTTGGGTGAAGGCCCAGACCACCCTCTCATTTGGCTGGCTCACTTCTTCTAGGTCTGCTCTCCATTCATTTTATCCTTCTCCTTTGCTTTCCACTGATTTTTGGGGTTCATTTCTTAGCAATTCTGTTAAGATGAAATATCTCCTTATGAGAATCTAATTTAGCCTGGAAGATGGAGAAAATGTCCTTCTAACAGACATGTCATGTTTCTCTGGATGGGACCCTACTTCCAGGGGCAGCTGCATGAGTGTGTGACCCATGGACAGGACCCCATGCTTACAAAGACCCTTGGCTTAAGGGCCACTGTCACCCTTGGCTTAAGGGCCACTGTCACCATCTTGAAATCCTAAATAATTCTTAACAAGAGCCTGGCTTTTTCATTTTTAGCTGATCGGGCTTCCCAGCCTGTTAGTTTCCCCTCCCTGCAACTCCTTCTTGCTAACCCCTACAATGTCTCTAGGTCTTTGCTTTACCAGAGGCGGTAACATGCTAATAGCTGCAAGGCCCAGCTCCCCCAGTCTCTCTGCTCAGCCTGGTGTCTTCACTCTTGTCTCAAAGAACCTGGCTCTGAAGTTGTAGCTGCTCTCCTGGGGCACTACGGAGTGTACTCCTCTGACCCCCACCCAGTTAACAAAATCCTTTGAGTCATGTGTGATGCTCCCCACGATGTTTACTGATGTAACGGGCAGGACAAACAGGACGCTCTGAAGCCCTTGTCTACACAGCTCCATGCCAGGGCAAGGTTGGATTATCCTTCCTTGTTTGTGAGTCCCTGTGGGGTGTGGGCGAGCTTTTCTATGTGGGTGTAAGTGTATATACTAGGGAGTTTCTGTTTGTATATGCTGTTTGTGGGTTGGACGGGTCTCAGGCAGAATTGTGAAGTTTATGTCTCATGTTCCCAATCCACCACGCGCATCTACTCAGCCCTCCCCTCCATGATCCACGTTCCAAATTCCTGTTCCTCCTCTCACCCTCTCCCCTCACTCCCCAGTGACCACCTAGGGGAAGGGTGGAGAAGAGAAGGGCTGAATGTAACAATACACCTTCCCTGGATACTGTACATGTAGGGTCTCCTGTTAGTCACACTTACAGCAATGGTAAGTGGTGGGTATTGCTGATGACCTTGTGTAGTGGAGGGGACTGAACTTCCCACAGATTCATTTGCCCAAGGTCATCTGATCATCAGCAATCCAGGGATTGGGATCAGGTTTATCTGGCTCTAAAGTCTGGTCTTTTCCCCAACCCTGCTCATCACAGGAATCTGGCATTTCCTCTGGACAAAGTCTAGCTGAGCCCCATCGGATCCAGCGTAATGACACTCTAACAACAAATGGGGCTTGTTGTTGTCAAAGAATCCAGGCTAATGTACCAGTATCATGAGTTTCTTCCCCTCTCTGGCCTCAACATTCTTGTCACCAGGTGATGTTTGAGGCTCCTTTCCAAATCTAGGAGCTTAGGATCATCCTGGGAATTTTCCTCACCTCACAAACAAAAATATCTGCATTTTAATATGTTTGCAACAACTGAACCTCCTCCACCACTGAGCTGTTGAGGCTGAAATACTTAGTGTGAGGTCCCAGATTTCAGGCTGGGGGGCAGAGGGAGATATGGGGATGGGGATGCATCCCAGTGGCTGAGGGTCCAGTCCAGTCCGGGCAGGAATGGGTGCTGTAGACACCCCTCAGGGGGCTCTCTGGCTTAGGAGAGAAAGGCAGGGGTTTCAATATGATTTTAAATGCTAAGCAGTAAATCAACTAACCCTTCTTGTTTTGCCTCTTCTCTCCACTGACGCACATTGATCTGTTTTCTCTGGCCTCTCGAGTCCTCTCTTGTTTCTCGTTCCTTTTCTCCTCTGTTCAACGGCCTCCCTTCCATCTACCTCTCCCAGGAGCCGGCTGGGCTGGGTGCCCGCCAGTCCCAGGCTTATCCCTGCTTTCCTCCTGCCCCTCCCGCTCGGTCGGTCCCCCTTCTCCGTAGCAGCTACACCCCTCCTATGCCCCCTCCCCTAGCCCCAGTTTTCCCTTCTCAGTCGCGTCCCCCAGTCCAGCGGCTCTGAGTCCTCATCAGTGCTCTAGCCCCCCACGCACTCGGCCCCTAAGTACCTCAAAAGCAGAAAAAGAGCCCCACAACCCCCTGACCCTCCACCCTTGTGCCGGGCCTGGGAGGACCCGGTCCCCGCCCCCCGCAGGGCTGACCCGGCGGACAGCGGACTGCGCGTCCCTGCCTGGCCCACCCCCACTATCTCCCGGGTCCGAGGAGCTGCGGCGCGCACTGGGGGAGACGCCCAAATCTCACCTATGACCGTGAGCCTGGTGCCGGAGCCGAAATACTGCTCATAGGAACACAGAGGTCCAGACCCGCACGCAAACCCCTGCAGCGCCCCAGCCGCTTCCCGCTCCCGCTCCTGGCGGGAGCCCACCCGGGGCCGGGCCAGGAAGGGCCCTGGGGTCGCCGCCTTCCCTTCCGACCCCGCAACCCTCGTGTCGGGTCCCGCGGCCACTCACCCAGGACAGTCAGCCGGCTGCCGGCCCCGAAGGACAGGGCAGAGGCTGCAAAGCAGGGCCCCGGGCCCCCTCCCCAAGACCTCGGCCGCGCCGCGCGCCGCGCTCACCTAGAACCGTCAGCCGGGTGCCCGCGCCGAAGTACTGGGTATTTTGGCTCACAGCCCCCTGCCTCAGCACAAAAACAGGCCCGCCATCCGCTGCCCCACCGCCCGCCCCGGCGCGCCCGGGCACCCTCGCTTACCTAGCACCGTCAGCCGGGTGCCCCTGCCGAAATACAGAGTTTCTCCACTCACGGCCCGGAGCCCCAGCACAAAAATCTGGCGCTGCCCTCTCCCGCCGGCCCTGCTCCCTCGAAGAACCGGGAGTCCCGGCCCAGGCGCTGAGCCCCGCCTCTGGGCACAGCCCCTGACGGAGCTGGGCAGCTGCCCACCTGTGTCCATCCCACCCCGCGGAGCGCTTGCCCCCCAGCTAACCTCCTTACCCAGAACCGTCAGCTTGGAACCGGCCCCAAAGTACAGCTGTCCTGTGTTTGCACAGCTCTGGGGACCCAGGCACAAACCCGCCTTCCCAGACTAGGGTCCTGGAAGGGGCCAGCACCCACTCCTCTAGGGCCAGGATCCTGAGTGGTCCAGGCTGGGCACCCCACCAGCCTTCCCACCGGGAGAGGCTTTCTTACCTAGTACGGTGAGCCGGGTCCCTGGCCCAAAGTGCTGCTCACTGTATAAGCACAGTGGTCAGGGGCTGCCAAGAATTTCTGCTCCTCCTGCTTCCCTTGGCACAAGCTGGGGATGCACTGTCCTTCTCCTTCCTGGGCTTCTCTCCTGCCACCTCCAGAGCTAGCTGGACATAGTCATCTAGATGCTACAGGAGGTCATCTCTAGTTTGCAGAGGAGAATCAACTTGGCTTGGGGACAGTACAGTGGACGTATAAAATGAACTGAGCTTGGTGCTGGGGGTTGGGGCTGGAGTTGGGACGTGTTCCAGGAAGGACCCTGTCTCTTACTACTTATAGGACCTGCAACTTTTCTGGCCTTCTTTCCTTCATCTGAAAAAGGGGGTACTACGTTTTGTGCAATATTGTTGTGAGTTCTTCATAAATAACGCATGTGTAAGTACTTTTGTCAAGGGCAGGTTTTTATGAAAAGTGCTGGATGATGACCCGGATTCGATGTGTGGGCCCTTCGTGTTCCTGGGAAGCTGTCTGGAGCTGGGAGATGTAGAGGTGTTCACCCAGTCCAGGTCCCTGCAAGAGCACTTCAGGGACCAGCTCTTGAGACACCTCCTAGCCAGTTCCCATCCAGGAGCTGTGTTCCCAGGGCAAGGTGGAGGTATTTTCCGAGGCAGAGCTTTTTGTAAAAGCACCCCCTCTACCTGAGTCATCGTGCCCCCCCCCCCAGCTCCCACAATGTTACAACAGGATACAAAAATGTTTCTTTCCTTCTGGTCCCCTCCCCCCAACCACTGGGCAGAGACAGGAAGTGCAGGTGACAGAGGTTTGACTGAGTGGGGCTGGGAGCCAACTCAGAGTACATTTAAAGTGGGGAGGGGCTGGGGAAAGTATGGTGCTGGTGGAGGGAGGGGAGGGGCAGAGAGGCTGTATGGCAGAACATACACCACTGTGAGGAGACCCTCTGTGTCACCAGGTCTCCCCTCTGGGACTCACGGTGCCCACCTGCACAGAAGGGCATTTATAGTGACGTGGGGCGGGAGGAGCGAGGGGTGGACTCCAAAAAGCAGGTGACGGCAGCTTGTGGCATGGGGACAAGCAGACTCTGTAATTCCCCACTGCTCCCCGAACAGAGTCCAAGCTCCTTATGCTTCATGTATCCCACACACTGCATGAACACCTCCTATGTGCCAGGCCCCATGCTGGTGGCAAGGACCTGAGTTCACCTCTGAGGCGCACGCAGCAGCCTGCCTAACATCTCCTCCCTCCTATCTCTGAACCTCGTCCCCGTCCCGTCCCCGGCTAAGCACCCTCAAGTACCTGACCCTGTGGTTTCAGCTCTGGTTCATGTCTCTGACTGTCACGACCACCCTCCCACAGAGTTGATTAGACCAATTCTTTCTGTGAAAAGTTTGCCACATTCTCAGACGCTTCCCTGATGATCCCAGTAGGAAATTGAGTACTAGCCTCTGACTGCATTTCAGACAGCTCGCATTTCTGTCGGAAAGCGCCACTTTGTATTTCAACTGTTTCTATTCATGAATGATCCCCTCCAGAACAGGTAGGCTCCCTAGGGACTGTGACTTGGATCTCCTTACTTTCTTGAAGGTGAATAGCAGGACATTGCAATGATGTGTGCTTGAGTGGGTTAGTGCACAGGCACATGTATGTAAATACATGTACACATACATATGTGTTATAGAAGTGTGCACACACATGTGAATGCCTCATGCATTGCAATGGAGAGAGAAAGTCATGCGTTCCAGTCCCGTGAGCGAGAGAGTAGATGGCTAATTCAGGCAAAGAAGCACCTGAGAAGGCTTCTTACAGGGGATGATGTTGGGGCTAAATCTTCAAGAGTAAGTAGGAGTTGGAGTACTACTTTGTGCCTCCAGGTAATGGAATGCAAAACAGCCTGGAAGCAGGTGGCTCCAGGATGCAGGGTGAGAGGAGTGGGGTATGCACGGAGCAAGGTAGCAGAGGACCACTGCCTAGATGCCATCCCCAGGACCATGCATCACCACAGTGACCATGAGACAACAAAGAGCTCTTAGAGGATTCCTCGAAATAGCAATAGGGCTGACTCTTGGTTTTGGGGACCTTTATTTTCTATCCTTCCAGGAGTGATCAGGGCACGTTTTTACACCCAGGTAATTCACCAGAGAAAAACTCATCAACAGATTTGTAACGTAAACTGGAAGACACATGTGCTACTTGAGATTCCAACTCCAAGTCAGTGCCTTCTCTTCTTGGCCGGGAAGCCTGCTTGGTGACAAGAGAAGACGGTAGTGTACTCAGGGAGACAGTTGAAGGGAACGTGGGTGATAGGTATGAAGGCAAGCTTCTTAGCCACAAATAAGTGACCAGTTGTTGGGAGATACACCTGTGGAAGTAGACTCTTCCTTAGAGCAGCTTGGTCCAGGTAGGACAGGAAATTTTTTTTTTTTTAAGACTTTATTTGAAACAGAGAGAAAGATTACAAGTAGACAGAGAGGCAGGCAGAGAGAGAGTTGGGGAAGCAGGCTCCCTGCTGAGCAGAGAGACCGATGTGGGGCTCGATCCCAGGACCCTGAGATCATGACCTGAGCCGAAGGCAGAGGCTTAACCCACTGAGCCAACCAGGTGCCCCAGGACAGGAAATTCTTATAGAAAATGTCACCGTTTTTCTGGGCTGTTTTTGAGTAAGCCTCCTCAATCCCATCCCCCCATTTACATTTACTCAACTTCTCCTGACAGGGAGGAACAGGGCAGCCCCAGACTCAGTCCCTCAGCCCCAGTACTGGAGGGACCTGCTCTTTCCTTGAATACCTCTTCTTTCCTTTTTTTTTTTTCTAAGATTTTTATTTATTTATTTGACAGAAAGACACAGTGAGAGATGGAACACAAACAGGGGCAGTGGGAGAGGGAGAATTAGGCTCCTGCTGAGCAGGGAGCCCGATGCAGAACTCAATCCCAGGACCCCAGGATCATGATTGAGCCGAAGGCAGATGCTTAACGATTGAGCCACCCAGGTGCCCAATACCTCTTATTTCTATCCTGGCGGGAGTCACATGGGAGGTCCGAGATGGGCAGAAGATATATCCAGACACTCATAAGGCGGAGTCAAGCCAGAACACATCATTTTTATTGATTCAGTCAATAGTCAATTTAGTCACACTAGGGGTCGGTCCCCCTGGGTTAGGGAGGTTTGGGTCATCAGCATCCAGGTGTTCAGGAACATAGTGGGTAACTATTGGGGTGAGCGGAGAGATGAAAACAGCTCTTGAGAAGCACTGGCTAGAAGTAGAAAAAGGAGAATCTGTATTGGGGAATAGCAAGCTGGAAGCTCCCGCCTCTGCCTCTGAGGTAGTTTCAGGAACCCTTTCTCTTGACCTGAAGAAGAGAACGTTTCAGGGGTTACCAGGAGTGATGGGAACTGAGAGGAAGTAGGATGGTCTGCTGACAGGGTGAATGGTAGAGCTCTTTACAATGTCCATTGGGTTCTCAGATGACCTCAGCTTCTCCTTCTCTGCCTGGTTCTCCCACTGTGATCCCGGAGGTACAATACACCTGCTGAGGCATGTGGGTGGACCTCTGTCTTCTTCTCCTGACACCACTGACTGCCAGCGGGCTCTCTGACTACTCACAGTTCTGAGTTGCTGTGTTTCAAGTGTCACCTCCAGAGTCCCATCCTTACCTTGGCCATTAGCACCAGGGCACTGACCAGCACAGCATACAGGGTGGCCTTCCCCAGCAGGATCTCATAGAGGATGGTGGCAGACAGGATGCCCTGCTGATAGGACACTGCGGGTAGGAAAGAAGAGCACACAGGGGCCTGTGAGCACGTGTCTCTGGCCTCTCCACCCCCACCCTAGGGTCCATGGTTCTCCATGCTCAGCTTCTGGGACAAAACCATGGGAGACGCAGAGCAAGCAGAGGAGACGGTCACTCACCCGAAGTGAAGCCACAGTCTGAAAGAGAGAAGGGGGAGGGAATGGGTGAGAGACCCCATCTTCTAAAGCAGATGGAAAGTTGCCAAGTTGGGCGCACCTGAAGCTAATGCAAAACTATTTGGAAGCTGTGCTTCCCATTAAGAACGAGCCAAACACAAATGCTAACGCAGCAAGTCAGCCTTCTGGTCAGCACGGACCCCAGGCTCTGACTGGGCTTCTCACAGAAGAGACTAGACACAGAAGAGACTAGACTAGACACCTAGACTGTCTTTCTGGTGCTGTGCCCGTGGAGCCATGCCATCCTGGAACTCTGTGGAACGTGGTGGCACAGAGGGGCTGGGGGCACCCCCGTCGGTGCTGAGCCACACAGGCTCACACAGTGAAGGGGGCGCAGCTGCAGGGCTCTGCTGGGCTGAGGATCTGGGGGAGGAATTAGCCCCGGGGTCCCCATTCACCCTCATGCTGGGCTTTGGTCTTCCCGCCCTGTCCTGTGTCTGCCTGGGCACCCCCTTTCTGTGCTCAGCTCACTCTCTGCCCAGCCCCCAGACCCGCTCACCTGCTCTGCCCCAGGCCTCGGCACTGATGATCTGGGTGACGGGTTTGGTCCGTTTGTCGTTGGGCCACTCGTCATCGTCCCCGAGCCCGTGGAACTGGACTTGGCAGCGAAAGTGGTTATGAGGGTTGTGCCAGAAGGTAGAGGACACCCTCAGCCGGCTGCTCAGACAGTAGCTGGAGTCATTCTCATCCAGCCGCTCCCTGTAGGGCTGAGGGTCCGTGCTGACCCCATTCTGGACCTCCTTCCCATTCACCCACCAGCTCAGCTCCACGTGGTCGGGGTAGAAGCCGGTGGCCAGGCACACGAGTGTGGCCTTCTGGGTTCGGGAGGTCTCTGCTTCCGATGGTTCAAACACTGTGACCGTGGGAGGTTTGACCTTTTCCACATTGTCTGCAAGGGAAAAGGATTTGGGACCAGGACTGGTCTGACAGCTGACTGGGGTTGGG